ACCAGAATGAAATTGTCCCTTCCCTCAAGAACCTTGTAATACTACTGGAAGAAGACCAAAAAAAATGAATGAAGATAAGGCAGTCTAAAATATACATATATACATGCACATACATATATATATATATATGTATATATGTAGGGGTGTGTGTGTGTGTGTATATATAAAATCTCTTTGACCTAGCAATCAATCAATTAATCATTAAGTATTTCCTAAGCATCTTCCATACTCCAGTCACTGTGCTGTCCATATACCTCGAGGAGGTAAAATATGGAAAGGAAGTTCCATATACACCAAAATATTTCTAGGAGCATTTGTTTTGTGGTAGCAAAGAACTGGAAACAAAATGGATGTCCATGAACTGAGGAATGATAATATAAATTATGGTAAGTGAATGTAATGGAATATTACTGTGCCATAAGAAACAATGAATATGATGGACCAATGCAAAGAAAAGAAGGCAGAACCAGGAAAACAACAGACACATTGACCATAACAATGTCAATGAAAAGACAAAAAATCACAACCAAATGGTGTACAATTATAATGACCAAAGGTCCCCAAAGAAGAAATATGAAATTATACTTCTCTCTCTTCTTTGCAGAGGTAGGGAATGATGAGGGCGAAACATTGTACATAGTGTTGGATAAAGGGTAACTTTCTAGGGGGGGGATAGGAGTGGGATGTACTAGGAAGTGAAGCTAAATGAAAGATATTGATGAAAATTATGTATGATACATGATAGCATATATATAATTTCTCTATATAGAGAGATATATGCAAATTGATTACATAGAGAGAAATGACATATGCAATGATATATTTATTTTTATTAATATTTTGTTTATACAAAACAAATCTATGGGGGGGAGAGAGAGAGAGAGAGAGAGAGAGAGAGAGAGAGAGAGAGAGAGAGAGAGAGAGATTGAGATGCTCCCCTTTCCATTTCCACTAAGGAAGTCCTGTGCTTTGGACCCACACGTTGGCTCAGTCCTGAAGGAGCCTCGTCTCTAATGAGAGGCTTTTCTCATGCTCTTTGTATCATTACATCCCCAAAAACGATTTACTTAAATCTTAGGTTTTGACTCATAACTGGAGCAACATACTCATTGTATGATATGAATCAGCAATGGAACAGGTATTTCTTTCCTACAAGCAAAAGAAATATTAAACACAAATTACTCACAAACCTGTGCTGACAGAAAGCTTTATAATTGTGTTTGGTAAAATATAGAATTACAGCTCTGCTCCTTTGGGTGGTGGAGATATAAACCCCATCAGAACACAGAGGAGTTTGCAGGACTGATGAATAGGCATTGTTGTATTTTACCTCAGCTCTTTACTGCTATCCTACCGAGCCTGTGTCTCTTGGCCAATCAAGCCAGGGCTTGGGCTACTCTTCTGGTTGGTGGTCATCTTCCCTGACACAAAAGCTAGCTCTGCCACCAGCCCTCTCCCCTCTAAGGGATCAGGATTCCCAGACCTCTCGAAGTCCCAAGGTTGTCTCTGAGCCTGGACGTGTCCATCTCAAGATCACTACTTGGTCACCTACTTTGGAAAGGAAACACAAAGCAGAAAAGGCAGCCAGGGCTCAGGTTCAAGTTCAGACTTGAACTATTTTGGCCGTTAGTCACCCACACTTCCACTGAGAGCAGCGGAGGGAACTCGTGCTCCCCAGCTAGTAGAAGAAATGAAGATAGGCCACCCCCTTGAAAGACCCATTGGGTCACTGGCTCATCCTGCTCAAGGGCCATGAGGAGATGGTTTTGTCACCTCAGTTTGAGTCCTTCAGCTCTGAGGCACACCTTGCCAGAAACGGTCAGGGGCATTGTAATCTCGGAAACACCTGAGCTCACATTCATTCATTCGTGAAGTGCCTACCCTATGCAAGAGCCAGGAAATACAAATGCATAGGGGTTTAAGAACTGCCTGGCATCTTGGGATTTGTAGACAGGGCAAATGTTCCCCGCTCAACCTAGTGAGCAATCATGGACTATTCAGCAGGACTGGGGAACCTGCAGCGTTGAGGCCACATGTGGCCGTCTAGGTCCTCAAGTGCGGCCCTTTGACCATATCCAAACTTCACAAAACAATCTGGAATTGGCTTCACTTGAGGACCTAGAGGGCTACATGCGGCCTCGAGGCCACAAATTCCCCACCCCTGGACTATTGGAAGGCAGAGTTGAGTCTTCCTGCCCTGGAGTTGTTAAAAAAAAAGACATCTATAGTCTATGAGAGAGACTAGGGATGAGGGAGACCTTAAAAGCTGAGCTAGAAAGCATTGGCAAGAAAGGGGCAACAGGTGAAAGGAGAAGGGATAGGGCTGGGCTGCCAGCAGGGTCATTGGCCTCTTGGGCCATCTTGGAGAAGAAGTTCCAAGAAAAGATTCAATCTTCTTTCAACTTCCCCAACCAATGCTTGTTCATTAAAAGAGACTATAAACGTATTCTACTTGTTCCTTTGCCCCAGTGGTTCTGGCAGCCCATTCCTCTCTACCTCCAAAACCATAAGAAGGCTATGACTTAGCTAAAACTGGCTATTAAAAAACAAACATAAATTTAAATTATTATAGAGAGACAAAAATCTGCCTAAATGTTAGGGATTTGCTTAAATGGTGGTTCTGAGATTTTGTGATTAAATTCCTAACTTTTTGTTTAATATAACATGAAGAAAACACCAGAAAAGGGGAGGGACCAGCATATTGACCATAGACTAAACCCCCCACCCCAAAAAAAACCCTAGTAATTTTAAGAGGGTGTGGTTGATTAAGTCTCCAGGAGGGGGAGGAGAGAGAGCTGTGGCCAACTGTACCTACCTTAGCAACAGGAAAACGCTACAAAAAGCCATTGTTGTATAAAGACAAACCGGAAGTGGGGCAAGGAATCCTTAGTCCAAAGGAGCTTACTTACTTCCTCCTGGGGAGGAATATAATTTGTAATCAGTCAACAAGCATTTATTAAGCACCTATTATGTGCCAAGCATTATGCTAGGCTGCCCTTGAGGAACTTAGAATCTCTCTGGGGGAGACAAAATGTGCCTGTATAGATAGACACAAAATAGATACAGGGAAGCTCAGGGCTCAGGAAAGACTTCATGTAGAGCCAGGGCTTGTAACCTGGGGTCCATGGATCCCCCAAGGGAGCCTATGAACTTGCAATGGAAAAAATACAGCTTTAGTTCAATGAAATTGGTTTCCTTTATAATCCTATGCATTTTACTTGATGCATTTACAAACCTGATTCTGAGAAGGGGTCCATGGGCTTCAAAACCGAACTGCCAAAGAAGTCAATGGCATATATGAAATGCTATGGTGGAGCACTTGAGCTGAGCCCTGAAGGATGTTACAAAGTGATGAGAGTCATCAGTGTGGAAGACAGTGTAAGGTCCTCCCAGTGTGGACATCACCTCCCTCAACCCTTCAGGGTAACTAGGAGAGGGGAAGGTGCTACCATTAAAGGGACTGTAACTGTCATGGTCTGATACCTGCATTCACCTTCCAGTAGGGATGGGGAATTGGGCTTGGGCATAGGGGTCAGGGGGGATCAGCTTAGGCCAAACATTCAGGTCCACCTCTCACATTTCCTCTAGGTGTGTTCTTGGCCAAATCTCCTGAGAAGGGTGGGATGGAACCATGCTACAGTCACACAGTACATGGCTCTTGTACATTTCTCCCACCCTCCTTTCAAACTTCTTTTTTCCTATCTATGGCCTCACCATCCTTCTAAATAAACAAGTTCATACCCATTGAGTCATCCTTAACTCTTTCCTCTCCCTATATCAGGGGTTCCTCACTTGAGGTCCTTGAACTTTAAAAAGTATAGATAACTATATTATAATAAAATTGGTTATCTTTGTAATTTTATGTACTTGATTCAAAAATATGATTCTGAGAAGAGGTCCATAAGCTGCACTAGACAAAAATGGTTTAGAACTTGTACCTAGTTAACTGCCAGGTCTTGTTATTCTGACATCTCTAAGCATCTGACCTTGTTTCTCCATTCACTCCATAACCAGTCAGTAAGCATTTGTTAAGAGGTTTACTGTGTGTCAGGTTTTGTGCCAAATGCTGGGAAATCAAAGAAAGGCAAAAAAATGTACTCTGAATCACTCCAGCTCAGGTCCTCATTAGCTCTCACTTGGACTATTGCAGTTGTCTCCCAATTATCTCCTTGCCTCCAGTCTCTGGCTTCTTCAGCCCATCCTCCAAGCTGCTGCCGTATTGATATTCTGAAAATAGGGATCTGACCATGTCACCCTCCATCCCTGACTCAGAAATCTTCAATGGCTCCCAGTTACCACTAATATAAAAATATAAACCCATCTTTCTGAGTGGGCTTTCAATCCCACTGCTACAGCTCCATCTCCATCTCCATCTCTACATCCGTGATCATATGCGATGAAGTGATCAGGAGTTGGGGGCACAAATCAGTGTAGGGTAAGAAAAGTCCCATGAGATGTGAAGACTCTGGCAATGGCCCGATTGCTGCCATGGGTATGATGGATTAACACACGGTATTTCCCCCATCTAGTTCCTTTCATTGACCTGCCCTTGCAAGAGCTTCCTTCCCTTCCTTCTCAGGCTGAGTGGGTTTGCTCCTTTAAGCTCACCAATGGGAGGCCAATGGAGTAGGAACTCTGGATGTCTGGGATTTAGGGGAGGGGCTGGTCAAACCTGGGCTTGCCTCATTCTATGCCTAGTGCAAGTTTTTGCTTTTAAAACAGGGGCCAGGAAATAAGCTTTTGGGAAAAAAGCCCCAGCACTAAGATACCTCGGGTTCCAATCCTGGTTCAGCCACCCAACTACTGTGTGGTTTTGGGCAAATGTTTCTTGGCTTCAATTTCCTTGTATGTGAAATATGGCAGTTGGACTAGATCATCTTTCTAGGCGGTCCCTTCCAGCTCAAATAATTTATGAATCTGACTGACTGCCTGTGTAAACACATCTGTAGTGGCACTTCCCCAAATTGTGGGGGAAGGGGAGGGTTTAAGGAAACCAATCTTAAAGAGGCAGGAAGGGCCCCAAAGGGCTTTAGGGCTTCTGGGATTGATAGAAATCGTGCCAGTGGGGCCTGGATGCAACGTGGGGTTGCTTAGGAGGTATTTCCCAGATTTCCTAGGGCTCTGGATACTCTGGGGATCCCAAGACAGAAAGAACTAAGAAGCCCTGGGGAATCCCAGAGCTCACACAGACCAAGAAGGCAACCAGAGGGAAGTGAGAGGTTGGGCTCCGGCTGGCAGCCCGAGTCGCCCAGGCCTCATTGTCCTCCAGCTTCTTCCCTTGATCATCCAAAGCCATGTCTCTGCCCAGACAGCTTCGAGAGGAGAGGTAAGTGGATAAGGACCTCAAGCACATCCTCTGACTTTGTCATTTGGGTAGGAGTCTCCCTCCATCCCCTGAAGGTCCTTCGTAGGGAGCTTCCTGTCACTCTGGTGGAGGAACTGATGGCAAAGCTAGGGAAGACCAGGTTGAGTCAGAGCCTATCTGGTAAATGAGGAATTCTGGTAAGTTTCTTTAAAGATAGAAACTGCTTTCTGATGCACTGATCACAGAATGAAGTGAAGATTGGCTTGTCTGGCTTTCTCATTTGAGGAAACTAAGGCTCAGATCAGGAAGTGACCCGCCAATGGTCACATAGTAAGAGGCAGACTCAGGTCTTTTGAATCCAAATCCAATGCAAGGTCAAAGGCTGGGAACTTACCATGTGCCCAGACCTGAACTAGACCTTCATATCTAAGGGATGGTCCACAGCAGCTTTAAGGCTCACAGAGCACTTTCTTCCCAACAGCCCCATGAGGTGGTGATGATGGGTGGTAATAGTAATGATGATAATGATATTGGCCCATGTCATTGGTTGCAGAATGTTAAACACAGTGATTGTCTCAGGAGTCTTTGCTGTCTGAATGTCATTGAACAAGGTGATGAGGCCATAACAACAAGAAAAAAAGTAGCAATTTGATCCACAGGTACAATGAGAAGCCGACCATTAAATGTACCAGAATAATAGCAGGATTGAGACTTGACCATGACCATTCCTTTCTGAAATCCACTGGAAAACTTGAGGAATTATTGATATTTAATAACAATAGTTGGCATTTATACTTTAAGATTTGCAAAAATATGTTATTTAAATTTATTTATATTTTGAACTGAAACAATGAAAAGATCATTTCTATACAGTCAGCAGAACTCAAAAAAGGAGTTTTATATGAAACACTGACTCTCCATTTCATAAAGCTTGCTTTTAAAAAAAGTTCTAAATTCTACATGTTACTTTTGTAACTGTACTGCTAGCTGTTCTTTCTGAATTTCCTTCTGTTCTCTTCCGTGCATTTAAAAAAAAAATCTTACAATGTCCCTCTTCTTTTCCATCAGAATTGCTAACCCTCCCTTTACTTCCCAATTAAAAGCTCAGAGAAAGAAAGAAAAACCTGCTTATAATAAATATGCATTACCAAGCAAAATTAATCCACACAGTGGCTATGTCAAAAAATCTGCACCTTGTGTCCTCTGTCAGGATGTGGGTGATGTGCTTTGTAATAGGTCTTCGGAGACATGGTTTCCCATTGCTTTCATCTGAGTCTTTTCTCACTCCTTCAAACCCTCAAAACAGAACCAATTCTACCTCCCCAGGACCTCTATTCTTCCTCAATAACCTTCAAAGACATCATGATTCTGAAGGGACACCTGTTTCTCTTTCCCCTATTAGAACATTAGCACTATGTTATAATATAACTCTTTCTAATTTGCTCAAATAAATCTACCTTTCTAGGTTCCTCTGGACTCTTATGTTTGTATTTCAAAATTCCTCATCAGCTCTCATCTTTTCATAAGAAATACTTCTAAGTCCTCTATTCCCTTCCCCTTTTAGAGGATTATACTCAGTTTTGCAAGGTATGCTATTTTTGGTTGTAAGCCTTTATCTTTTGTCATTTAGAATACTGTATTCCAAGATCTCCTCTGATTTTCAGCAGAAGCTGCCACATCTTGTGTAATCCTGACTGTAGTTCCTGGGTACTTGAACTGTTTTTTTCCCTGGATGCTTGAAATAGTTTTTCTTTGACATGGGAGCTCTGGATTTTGACTTTTACATTCCTAGAAATGTTTCTTCTGGACATCTTTTCAGAAGGAGATTTTTTCTCTCTTTCCTTTACCCTCAGATGAAGTCAGTTACTATGGTTTCTTACTGGATTCCTTCATGATTGTCTGCTCTGGTCTGAACTTCAGGATTTTGCTGGAGTGGGTATGTGGAAGCTGGGTGGTCTGTCTTCCATTCAGCTGGTTTTCTTGACTAGAAGCCTGCAAAGCACTTTGTATGCATTATTTCATTTGAACATCACACCCATGCTGTGAAGATGGGACTTCGTTTTCCTCCCATTTTACAGATGAGAAAACTGAGGCTCAGTTGTCGAGTCAGAGAACCTGGGTTTGAATCTTTCCTCTATCCCTTCCTACCTGTATGATTGTTGGGGCAAATCATTTCACTTGCCCGGGCCTCAGTTTCCCTATCTGCAAAAAGGCTACATGACTGCAGTCCCTTCCAGCTTTAAATCTATGATTCCATGACTTAGGATCATACCATAAGGGTGACATTACAGTCTGTGCCATGTCTCCAGCTCTGATTCTTTGACCCCATGGGTTCTTTTCCTTGTGTGTCCTCACAAACTTGGAGTTGTGTCTATCGGGACCACATCCCCAAGGCCCGAGGGGTTCTTTGGGTAGGAGGTATGGGAGAGAAGACGTGGTGTCTACCCACATGGTTACAGTCTACTGTTTGGAGAGGAAACAAGACATCCACACGTGGAAAGAAATAATTTCTGAGTTGCTCAGCAGTGGCTACAGGTCCGAGGAGAAGATTGGAGGAGGGAGGGTTCCCTGGGGGCAGGAGGAGTTGGGTCCCTAGAGAGCAGAGATCTTTCAAGCAGCCAGATTCATTGGTTTTTGAGAACATGCCTCCTTTCAAGGCCCCCTCCCTTCGTGATTCTGGTGTGGAAAGGGCCCTAGATAATGAGCAGGTCAGGGTCCATGACTTCTTGTCTCTGTGACTTTGGATGAGTCACTGTAACTCTCTGGGTTTCCACTTCTGCATCTCTCTAATGAGGAAGTGACTTGTAAGGGCCCTTCCAGGTCACAACCCTAGGAGTCTGGTACTCTTGTTAGACTAGAAAAACTGCATTTAGATAAATGAATGCATGGATTTATTAAGTGGTTTCTAAGTCCTGAGCACTGTACTAAGGACTGGATGTACAAACACAAAAAGCAAGACTGTTCGTGCCCTCAAGGAGCTTACATTCTACTAGGAAGAGACAAAGCATAAAGGGAAGTGGTAGCTAGGGAGGGATATTCTGATGAGAAAAGTTATGGGGATGGTGAGTGGAGCCAGGAGGGAGTAGGTTCACACACACAACACACACACACATGCATGTGCATGTACACACACCCACATTCACACACACGCATGCATGCATGATTTGGGAATAAAAGTTCATTTCATCGAAGTATGACATATGCTTTCTCAAAGAAGAAGTGAACCCCTGTTTTTTCTAGGGAGTGACCTGGGCACTATTTGGGTCAGTAACTACTTTGCTCTTGGGGGAGGCTAGACCTGTCTCTCAAATTTTGCAGTCTTTTAGTTTTTGTCATCTTTCCTGTGGTCAGGGTAGATGGAGCTCTGACACTGATCAGCTGTGTGACCCCAGGCAGGCTGCTTATCTATTCTGCCTTTCATGGGATCATAGACTAGAAGGGAGCTCAGAGGTCATCTAGCTCACCTTTGCTCCTCTCCACCTTCTCCACAATCAGTTTCTTTAATGAGGCGAGTCAGTGGGGTTGATAGAGAGCTGATCTTGGACTGAGGAAGACCCTCTCTGACACATACCATCAGTGTGACTTTGGGCACGTCACTTAACCTTTGACTTCCCTTAAATGTAAAATGAGGTTAGATTTGATGGACTCCAGCATCCCTTCCAACCCTGGATCTCTGGTCCTAGGGCTCTGGGCATATCACTGGACTTCTCAGAGTCCCCGGCAACTCTCTAGGATCAAAAATTGCACAGCAGGAGTTGACCTACCTTGGTAGAGGGATTTCTCTCCATGGGAGAGACCCTCTCCCCCTTTCACTAATGAAAGCAGAGATCTGGAGCAAAGGATCCTCCTCTGCCTCTTCCTCCTCTTCCTCCCCCTCCTCTTCCTTTTCCTCCCCTTCCTCTTCCTTTTCCTCCCCTTCCTCTTCCTTTTCCTCCCCCTCCTCTTCCTTTTCCCCCTCCTCCTCATTTTAGATTTCTGTGGTGCTTGAAGATTTCTCACAGAGCTTTCTTCATAGTCACCTGCTGTTTAAGGGTCTCTACACATTGGCTCCCACCTGCACTTGCACTTTTTTCATGTCACTCCCATTCACATTTTCCTTCTAATCAAACAGTCTGATTTGTTGCTCCCAAACCTGTCATTCCATTTCCCTCATCCATGCCTTTAAATAGGCTGTGCCTCCCACCTGGAGTGCCCTCTCACCTTACCTCCACTCTTAGTCCCATTGGCTCCTTGGAGTGTCAGTTCAGATGCCTCTTCTTCCATTCTGCCTTCTTGGATCCTCCAAATCTCCTCAGATAATCCTAGAACATTTTATCAGATCCCTACTGCCCCCTTCACTGAATATGTTGTGTTCAACTTATCTGTGTAAACATCAGAGCCCCTCAGCAGAATGTAAGCTTTTTAAGAGCAAGGGTGGTTTTGTTTCTGTCTCCTTACCCCTAGTGCTTCACATTTGTCAAATTCATGCTAAAAAACTGTGGAATAGAAGTGTACCCCATAAGGCAGGTATGTCGCTATTATTATCCCCATTTTATAGATGTGGAAACTGAGGTGCAGTGTCTCCACCAGGGTTGCACAGCCAGTATGTGTCAGAGCTGAATCAAACCCAGGTTCTCTCCTGACTCCAAGCACATGGTGCTTTCTACTTAGAAGACATTAAGATGTAGCATTCCAGGGGAGTCCCCTTTCATCCAGAAACAGACCAACCCCAGAGCTTAATCACTTGAAATTTCTGTCCTGTGCAATGAACACTGATCTTTATAATCACAATTCCTATGTCTTACAAGATTCTGGAAGGCCTCCTGAATCACAGAGAAAAATTCAATTAAGTTCATTTTATATTAAAGAATTATTATTAATTCAATTGACTTCTTCACCAGAATATTCAATTAACCACAGCATAACCTTTCTGGAACTCAGTTTCTGTAAATGGAGGGGATTGGATTAGATGATCTATAACATCCTTTCCATTTCTGACATTTCATTTTCTAAGATCCCTCTAAGGCCCCTCCCAGCTCTGCCATTCCCTGTTCTAAGCCCATCCCCCCTACTTCTGGCATTCCCATATTTTAAGATCCCTCCCAGTTCTGCCATTCCCTGTTCTCAGGCCCCTCCCAGCTCTGACATCCCCTGTTCTCAGGCCCCTCCCAGCTCTGCCATTCCCTGTTCTAACATTCTCTGTTAGAGCAGCTCTCCCAGTTCTGATGGTCTATGATTCTAATAATACGTAGATTCAGGTGAGCTGAACCACACCCTTAGCTCCTTCCTGCTCCTGCGGTAGCTCATTATGCGTCTGTTCTATCTGCCTGTTGGGGTGTAAGCTCTCCTGGGGCATTGACTGTCTTCTCTATCCTCGTATCTCCCATAGCATCAACACTCAGTAGGTGCCCAGAAAATGCTGCTTGAATGAATGTGAGTCTTTGGATATTTCTGACCTCCAATCAGGGTTCTCTGAGAATCTCTGGCCTCATGACCCTGATGACCTTTTTCTCTTTGCTTCCCCAGTGACTTTGACCAGCTCCCAGATGACGTGCCTATATCAGCCAACATCGCTGACACTGAAGAGAAGAGGGGCTTCACCAGCTACTTTGTAAGAGAGACTCTTGCACTCCTGACCCAGGGCATTCAGCCTGCTCTGGGCAGGGCAGGGAAGGAGAGACGGGGACCAGCTCCTGGGTCAGCGATGAAGCCCACAGTCCTCCAAAGCCCTCACTGTCAGGCTTGCTCTGAGCAGGGGGCACGGAGGATACTTCCATTTGCCAATGACCCCAACTCAAATGCAATTTACCCTTCCAGTGCCCACCCCCTCCCACCTTTCTGCATCCTGGAGATGAATGAAGCTTATCAGATACAGTAATCAAAGAAAGCTAAGATGGTGATGGCTTCATGTATCTTCACCTTGGGAATCGTAGATTTAGAGGTGTTAAGGATAGGGACTAGCTCATCTAACCTTATTTTACAGAAGAGGAGATTGAGTCTCAGAGAAGGGCAGTAATTCGTCTAAGGTCACACGGCAAAATCCAGATCCCCCAACTCTAAATCCAGCACTTCACATTGCCATGGCTGACAGATCTACATGTTAGTAAACCATAAAGAGCGCAGACCTTCAGGGTCTGAACTACTAGAGGATTTCAGATGCAGTAACCAGTTTATGGAGGAAGATTCAAGTTAATTAATCAATCAGCAAATGCTGATGCCCTCAGTCTAACCAAGGCGACACCTTGTACGTGAAGAAGTATGTTCAGAATAAATACATAAATATAAGATGATTTGTTGGAGGGAAGGCACCCACAGTTCGGGGAGGCAAACAGGAAAAGTCCAATGTGAAAGGCGGTGCTTGAACAGAGGAAACCAGGGATTCAAAAAAGTGGAGTTGAGGAGGGAGGGCATTCCAGACATGGCAGGAGGGAAGCCTGGGCAAAGGTGTCGAGGTGGGAAATGAAGTATTACATGTAAGGAACACTCATAAGGACAATTTGGTCACGTGACTTACACCCCACTGCCACAGAATCACAGAATTTAACCATCCAAATGAGAGCCCGGGACAGGAGAAAGAACAACGAATTCGGCGTCTACTTCACTTCGTGTGTGACCTTGGGCAAATTGCTTAACCTCTCTGCGCCTTCGTTTTCTTATCCATAAAATGAAGAGGTTGACCTAGTTTCCTCTGAGTTCTCTTTTAGCCCCAAGTCTTTGATCCTCAGACCCTCTCTAAGCTTCGTCTGCTCTGTCTTCTCGGCTGCCTCTCCCGCGGCCTCTGGACCAGCCTCTGAAACTCTGTCCCTCCTCAGGTGTTTGTCATTGAGGTGAAGACGAAAGGGGGAGCCAAGTACCTCATTTACCGCCGATACCGCCAATTCTATGCCCTACAGACCAAACTGGAGGAGAGGTTTGGGGCTGAGAGCAAGACGGCCCCCTTTGCCTGCACCCTCCCTACCCTGCCAGGTAGGCCCCGCCCCCTTTGTCTATACCCTTCCTACACTGCCAGATAGGTTATTAGGGCTCTAGTCCTACCCTTGAGCAGTAACTTCATCCCTTTGCCCTTCTGGCTGCCCCAGCCTCCCTCTGTCCTTTTAGGGTAGAATAAAGGTTTAGGGACAGGAAGGGAACCTTCTCCGGAATGATTCTGTGATTCCCTTGAGCTGAGAGTCTTGTTTTTCAGACTGTTCTGGCCACCAGAGCACTCCTGTTGTAGTCAATTGGGGAGAATGCTGTGCTGGGAATCTGGGGACCTGGGTTCTAGTTCTACCTCTATTCAGGGCTCTCACATGGAATGGCCTTAGATGTGATCTATTTGTTTTTTGAGGGCAGAAATGAAGAGGTGTAAGAAGGGGTTGTAGAGCTGGAAGATGTCAAGTTATAGTAAAGAAATACTCCCTAATGATTAGAGCTTTACTTGGATGGTTTCAAGAGGTAGTGAGATGCCTATCACTGAAGGTCTTCAAGTAAGAGCCTGAATGACTGCTCTCTGGGGATGCTAACCCAAAGTAGAATGGATTGCCTTGGGAATTAATGAGTTTCCTCTCACTGGAGGTCCCCAACAGAGGCTGGTGCCCACTTCTCAGGAACCATGTAGCCTCTGGGATCCCTTCTAAATTGGAGATTCTGGAATTCTGTGTTTTTTGTGATGAACTCTGCTGCAGCCCTGGGCAAATCACTCTCTTGTTTCTCCAGCTGTGGAATGAGTAAATTAGAGCCAAATGGTGTCTAAGGTCTAGAGAAATGGCATTTTCTATGTCTACGAATCTTAGACTATTAAAAAAATGTTATTGCTTCTCTTTTTGAATATCTCTAATAGTCCCACTCCCTCCATCCACACGAAATAGGACACTCATCTGCAAAAAAGAAATATGGGTAAAATAAATCGACACATTGGCCCTGCCCAATAATGTATGCCTCATTCCTTACCTGTAGTCCACCACCTCTCCACTGAGGCAGACCTGTCAGTCTTCTAGAGTCACCATTGGTTACTACTGATGGATTAGAGTTCTGACATCTGTAAGTATTCACTTCTTTCACCTGACTCTGATGCACTAATCATTGCTCTCTCCTGCAGCTAAGGTTTACGTTGGTATCAAGCAGGAAATCGCTGAGAGCCGGATCCCAGCCCTCAACTACTATATGAAGGTACTTCTGAGCATCAGGCAAAAGGGAGGGTTCAGGTCCCAGCTTGGCAAGCAGGGCCCTAAGGGGCTGGTGCAGATGGCAGCTCTGACCCCATCAGTTCTGCGGCCACTCGCCTCTCCCCTTAGCACAGGAATGAAGGAGTCTCTGTTTTAGATCTTGGGGCTCCATCTGTCCCATCCAAGCACAGTGAGTGCTCTAGAATCTCCCTCAGTAACCCCTTTGGGTTGATCCTCAAGCAAGGGGGATGGAGAGCATAGAATCATCCATGGTATCTTGCTTTTTCTGTATCAGGGAATGTTCATTTGCATTTGAGAGAATAGTAGAGAGAATGCTTTCATCTCTCTTTTTTTTCAATTCAATAAATATTTATGAAATGCTTACTATGTGCCAGGAACTGTACTAAGTGCAAAGAGGCAAAAGAGAGCCCCTGCCCTAAAGGAGCTTACAATCTAATAAGGGACACAATGTGTAAACAAATATATGCAAAGCAAATTATATAATGAATAAATAGGACATTATTAACAGAGGGAAGACACTGGAACTGGGTTAGGGAAGAATGCTTTCACCTCTGATGCCTGCTCCGAGGCTGCTGAGTGCCTAAGAGGATGGAGCAGTGGGCTGGGAGTCAGGAAGGTCTGAGTTCAAGTCCAGCCTCAGATACTTACTAGCTGTGTGACCCTAGGCCAGTGACTTAACCTCTGTTTGCCTCAGTTTCCTACTCTGTAAAATGAGGATCATAATAGCACCTGGCAGGATCAAATGAGATTGTAAAGCATTTAACACAGTGCCTGGCACATAGTAGGTGCTTGATAAATGGTGATTTCTTCCTTTCTTACCTATGTGACTTAAGTCATTGAATGTCTCTGAGACTCATTTTTTCATCTGTAAAATGACGCAGTTGTGGACTACATGGCCTTGAGGTTTCCTTCCAGCTCAGAATCTCTGATCTGAAATCTTTTCCCCTCTGAACCTGTTTCCTTTTTTTGTAAAATGAGGGCTTTGAACTTGAGGTCCCCTATGCCTGGGCCAGCGTTATTTCCACTGTGCCATAGTTAGAAAAAGGCAGGGTGATGTGATGGAAAGAGCTATGTGACCTTCAGTAAGTTGCTTAACCTCTCTGAATACCATTTGCCTCATATACAAAACAGAGATGATACTTCCTACTTGCTTGGACTACCTACTTGCCTCAATTCAACAAGCTATGTCCAAGGTCTTGTGCCAGGTGCTGGGGATAAAAAGGACCACAACCCAACCCATCAGTCCCTGCCCTCAAGTTGACATTTTACTGGGGGGATTATGTTCTGTGATTAGTTAATCTGGGAGCGAGCATTAAAACCTAGTGGGATCAGCAGAGGCTGCCTGTAGAAGGAGGCACTTGAGTGACACTGAGGATTCTATTGGTTGGAAGGAAAAAGAGCATGCCAGGCATAGGGTACAGCCTGAACAGTAGCCCGGAGGTGGGAGATGCTGAGTTTATGAAACTGCACAGAAAAGCCAGATGGACTAGTATACATAGAGTATATGAAGGGGAGGAATATGAAATAATTCTGGAAGGATAGACTGGAGCCAGATGGAGGGGCTTTAAATGTGGCAGCAACAGTCATAATAGCTTGAGTTTAAAGAACTCTTTAAAGTTTGCAAAGTGCTTTGCTTGCTGGCAACTACCATACAAAGTAGGTACTATTATTAGTTCCATTTTACAGATGAGGAAAATGAGGCAGATAGCAGTTGGTTAACTTTCTCATAGTCACAAAGCTAGTAAGTGACTGAGGCAGGATCTGAATGCAGATCTTCTTGACTTCAAGTCCAAAACTCTATTCACTGCACCACCTAGTAAGTGACAAACGAAGACATTCATATTTTATCCCAGAGTCCATAGGGAGCCATTTAAGATTCTTGAAGAGGAGAGTGACTTTATTGGACCTACGATCTAGGAAAATCACTCTGACAACTGTATGGAAGATGAATTGGAGCTGGAGAGAGACTTAAGGCATGGAAATCAATGAGGAAGCTATTGCAATAGTACAGGCTAGAAAGGATGAGAGCCCAAGCTGGGGTGATGATCATGTGAATGAAGAGATGGGGACATATAGGAGAGATACTGTGGTACTAGAACTAGGTAGCTGAATGGCAGAGTAGATTTAAGGGGCAGAAAGACCTGAGTGCACATTCTGCCTCAGACACTTACCAGCCGTGAGACCCTGGACAAGTCACATAATCTCTCTCTTTGCCTCAATTTCCTTATCTGTAAAATGGGGTAGGACCCATCTCACCAGGTTGTGGTGAGGATAAGCTGAAATGTCATGTCAGATACTCTGCCAGCTATAAAGTGATAGGTTCTCTTTAGATAGTAAATGCTAGCTCTTCTCATTATTATTAGGACTGACAACTTTTGGTAGCTAACAAGGTGCTTCAGGGTGAGGGGGAGGGCAGAGTCAGAGATGACTTTGAGGTGATGAACCTGGGAGCCTGGGAACTGAGATGCAGAAATAAGGAAGTTTGGAAGAAGAGAAAGTTTAAACAGGAAGTTATCTTCATACCGGCCTCAGGATGAACACATCCAGGATGGTTTTCTGCATCAAATTTCATTTTTAGAATGCAATTGACATTACATCACTTAGTTCTCCTTTCAGCCCAAGTCCGAAGGGCTGGTTAGTATAAGGCCAGAATGAGAACTGGCTGAGAGTCCATTTCCCAGAGACACTCAGGGGTGTGAGAGGTAGAGGAGAAGAGTCTTTGGGGTCCTATCCTGGAGTGTGCCCCAGCTGGGGAGACAAAAATGACGAACAGAGATAACTAGAGGGCAAACTGACAGCTTCGGAGAAGACCAGAAGATGGGAGGAAAGAGAGAAGGGTGGACTTCAGGGACCCTCCCAGCTCTTAAGGATGATTCTGTGAAGGAGGTAGGGCTGTTGATAGGAGTTTTGGCAATGAAGGAAAATGTCACTAAGGGCGGAGTTGTCAGGCTACTCTGCATGAGGGATCAGAGTAGGACCCTACATCTAGAGCTAGCAGGGACCTCAGGAGCCATCTCATCTATTGCTCTCATTTCATGGGGGAAACTGAGGCTTATGGGAGTTGCCCAAGGTCACACATAGAATCATACTTCTAGATCTGGAAGGAATCTCATCAGCCAATTGGTCTATCTCCATCATCTTATAGATGAGGAAACTGAGTGACCTGGCCAAGGTACCATCTAGATCTTAGATCTAGATCTAAAAGGGACCTCAGAGGCCCCCTGGTCTATCTCCTCCATTTTATAGATGAGAAAAGTAAAGGTCATAAAGGTAAAGGGGTTTTTCAAAATCCCTCCAGTATTAAATGTCAGAAACATCAGTCTTCTGGCACTGCTATCCATGGGATTTCCATTGTATCATGCTTCTGTCTTCATAACAGCCCAAGCTCGACTGCATATCTGTTGTCTCAGGCCACATGCCCATAAATTCAGACACTTGTCATGAGATTGGCCACAGGGCGGGGTGGTGGAGGACATTTAGGCCATGATAACTCTCAGAGACTAACCACCTGGTGAGTGTTAAGCAAGCTGTGATCAAAGCCAGTGGAGGGAATGTCTTCATCCCCCAAATCACAGATCCTTGAAGTATTAAGTAAAATTCCTCCTAATAAGCCCATCATCATTTCCTCTTATTCATCAACATATATGTGATTTTCTGGTATCATGTCCCAGGGTCATGGTGATTAGCACAGTTTGAAGCTTGTGGAAATAATGAAAAAGAAAGAAACCCACAGAGAGATCTGAAGAGACTCTGATCAGCTCTAAGCCTGAAGGAGAAAGCTCCACTCCGCACCCCCTTACCACCATAATGAGAATGTTTTCTGATGATTTGCTCAAGGACCTAGCAGGAGGGGCTGCTGGAATCAGTCCTTGCTCTATCACCTTCGCTTTTCTCCTCTGGTAATGGTGGGGATGACAGTCTTCTATTTCTGACTCCATACAATTAGTGCCGGAAATAACCACCTGCCTGCCTAGTGTTTCATAGTTAGTCTATTTCCAGTCACCTCCCAAATATTAGTTGAGCATCTATGACCTTCCAGTCCATACTGCAGCTGCTATTTCAGGTCCAAAAATGAACAGAGGATGGGGATGCTTCACTCACAAGGACATTAGTTTGGGGCTAGAGCCAGGACAAAGCAGGGGAGCCAGAGGATGTGAAGTTGAGTCCTTGAAGTCATGTCACTTCCATGGATCTCAGTTTTCTCATCTGTAAAATGGGAGGGCCATACTAGCTGACCTCTAGGGTCCTTTGTAGTTCTGGATCTATGATCTTAGACAAGAGGGGAGGGGATTTGCCCAAAGACTCACCATTAGTCACTTGCAATCTGTGCACTGGGCATTGTGTTAAGGGCTGAGGATACAAAGAAAGGCAAAAATACAATCCCTCCTCTCAGGAAGCTCACAGTATAATGAGGGAGATAGCAAGGGAGATAACAACTATATGCAAACAAGATGTAGATAGGATAAATAAGAGATAAGGCATCAAAAGTCAGCTGGGATGAAAACCCAGAATCTCTCTCTCTCATCAAAGGCTTATAGATTTAATCTAGAAAGAATCTTAGAGTTTCCTAGTCCAAATCTCTCATTTCACAGACAAGGACTAGAGAGGCAAAGGGACTTTCCCAACATATAGGAAGTTTCAGAGCCAGAATTTGAATTCAGGTCCTGCAAATCCAAATTGAGTGACATTTCCACCATACCCCTCTCTTGCCATTCTACCAGACCGTCTCAAACTGTCGACATACTGGGACCCAAAGATTCTGGCCCTGACCTATGGTCATGGGATTTTGGTTGGGTAAACTAGGTAGGGGTCTGGGGAAAGATTAGAACTGTTCCGCCGTCCCCAGAATCCCAAAGGAGGGAAAGTGTCAGCTTCAACAGTAATGGCTTTGCTGCTCCAGCAGGGGGCACTGTAACAACAGCAAATAGAAAGCAAATCTGCATAAGGCTGTGAAATACTAATTTGTAATTAAAATGCAAGAATCCAAATATTGTAGCTTGGAGCTTAAGGCGCTAAATGTTTAAAGCTCATGTTAGCAGTTTCCCTGCATTTTGAGTTGTATGACCTGTACGTCCTTGGCCCAATCACTTAGTTTCTTTGGGTATCGCTATGGAGTACAGTGGAAAGAATGCTGGAGTGGTTGGCCATTTCCTTCTCCAGCTCATTTTACAGATGAGGAAACTGAGGCAAACTGGGTTAAGTAACTTGCCCAGGGTCACACTACAGGTAGGTGTCTGAGATCAAATTTGAACTCAGGAAGAGGAGTCTTCTTGATTTAAAGCCCAGTGCTGTATGCACTATGGCACCGCGGCCTAGCGCCCTCACTATCATTATCTCCATCTTACAGCTGAGGGAACTAAGGAAGGCAAAAGTTAAGTGACTTGCCTAGGGTCACACAGCTAAGTGTCTGAAGCAGGCCTTTCTGACTCCAGCTCTATCCACTGAGCTACCTAGCCAGAAATGCTTATAGAGGACCTCAGGTTGAAAAGGAGCTGGGATGTGTTAGGGGAGATAAAGCCCAGAGAAGGGAAAAGCCAGAATTCGAATTTAGATCTTTTGACTCCTAATGGAGTGTTTTTTTCCACTATCAATATGGATCCCTTTTGTCCGTAGTTTGATTTTGTCTCTGCCTTTCAAAGCAGACACCCCCGTTCCTATAGCATCTGATGTCCAGTGTATTAGCCACATACCCCCATTGTTAGGGGAAGAAGGATATGGGTGAGGAGGAGGGAGACATTTCAAGGACATTGTTTGGGACTTTCTCCGTGCCTCCTTTAACACCCCCTTTTCCTTTTCCAAACACAGAAACTTCTCAGCCTGCCTCCTTGGGTACTGATGGATGAAGATGTTCGGATCTTTTTCTACCAGTCTTCCTATGATTCTGAGCAAATCCCCCAGGCGTTAAGACGGCTCCGGCCTCGGACCCGGAAAGTGTGAGTGGCAAACCCCACCCGGCTCCTAGCCCCTTATATCAGGGCTGGGTCTCTGAAGGGGTGGAACAGACCCTCGTTGCCAGCATTAGAGTCACTCTACAGGGTTCAGTCTATCTCCAGAAAACTCCTGTTAGAGCATCACTCCCCTGGGGAAGCCCTTGTCCATGTTGTTGTGCGTCCTTCCTTCTCAGAGGACCGATGACATCACAAATTCTGTCCCAATTACGCTACCTCCCTTTCGGAGAAAGGCCTTGGTCTTGTTTATTCTATGGGGAGCACACTGTGGAAATTTATCTCTTTGATAATCATCCTCATCATCATAGCACTTTCAAGCTTGCAAAGCACTTTACAAGTTCTCATTTTGTCTTCATAACAACCCTGGAAGATAGGTAATATTGTCATTTCATTTTAGAGATGAGGAAACTGAGGAAGACAAAATAAGTGACTCGCCCAGGGTCACACAGCTTGTGTCTGAGGTCAGATTTGAACTCAGGTCTTCTTAACTCTTGGTCAAGAAGCTCAATCCATTGTGCCTCCAAGCTGCCTCACTGATGCAAAGTAGCAATTTATTTCTAATTTAGTCTCTAGTAGTAGCCTGGAGGTGCTGATAAGTAAAGGCACTTATCCAGTCACATAGCTACTACGTGTCAAAGGGGGACTTGGGATGACATCTTTCTGACACAAAGGCTGGCTGTTTTTCCACTAGTGGTTCACAAACATTTCAACCTCAGAGATTCCTTTACACACTTAAAAATTATTGAGGACCTCAAAGAGCTTTTGTTGATAGGAGTTATATCTATTGATATTTATTTTTAAAAATTAAAACATTTATTGAATCATTTAAAAATAATGATGATAAACCCATTACATGTTAAGATAGCATTTTAATGGAAAATAATTATATTCTCTTAAACAAAAAATTAGCAAGTTGAGTGGCATTGTTTTACATCTTTTTGCAAATGTCTTTAATATCTAATTTAATATAAGACAGCTGGATTCTCATATCTGCTTCTGCATTCAATTAGTGTTGTTTTGGTTGAAGGATATGAAGCATATCTGTTCTCATACAAATACATGCTTGGAAGATAAAAAAAATATTTTAATAAGCAAATCACTTGGTCATGATCAAAACTAGTATTATAAAAGTAGTTTTGATCAGGAGGGCATCCTGAAAGGGTCTTGGAGACCTGCAGGGTCTAGACTGTGGTAACCTCTAACTAATGCTTTAACATAGAACAATTAATAGAGGCGTTGTGTCCAGAGGGAGGGAGCAGGGCCGCATTACTGCCCTCGACCCCAGCCGGGAAACCTCTGTAGTAGTGCGTTCAGTCCTGGGGACCAGATTTTGGGAAGGAAACTGACAACCAGGCACAAATTCAGAAGAGTGTGACAAAGATCGTGAGGGGGACTGAAAACGGTGCCATACGAGGGCTGGCTGAAGGAAAGGGGAATATTAAGTCTGGAGAAGAGAATGTTTGAGGGGCACGCGAAGGACGCCACTTGAAGAGATGTTAGACTTCTCCTGTTTGGTCCCAGAGAGCAATGAGGGGGAGTTTCAGAGGCAGATTGTGACTTGACTGCAGGCAAATAAATAAGCAAGCAAACAAACAAACGAATGAATGAATGAATGAACAAATAAAATAAGTACATAAATAAATAAATGAATGAATAAAAACAGACCTTCCTGATGATTAGTACTATCCAAACGTGGAACAGCCAGGAAATCAGGAAATTCATAGAAACGTGTGATTTGGAACAGAAGGGGGCCTTAGCAGTGATCTAGTCCAATCCCCTCATTTTACAGATGAAAAACTGGGGCCCGGAGAGTCCCAGTGACTTTCCTAGCATCACACAGGTAGTGAGTTCTGGATCACTGCAGGTCTCAAGGAGGAGATGAGGGGCTCACGTGCGGGAGACATTGGAGGAGGATTTCTGCCGCAGCATGGGCAGGGAGGGGAGGTGCCAGGTGAATGCTGCAGAAGGAGAAAAGCCTGGCCCTCCAGGATCGATGTGAGCCAGGGAGCCTTGTGGTGCAGTACAGTGAAGAGTCCTGCAACTGCAGCATGAGGACAGTGTCTGGAGTCTGGCCCTGCTACTTACTGCCTATGCAGCTTTGGGAGAGTCACTCTCTGTGGGCCTCAGTATTCTCATCTGTAAAATGGAGGTGTTGGAATGGGCAATCTCCAAGGTCTCCCTCAGTTCTAAATCCTAATTTCCCCAGGCTACCCACTCCTCTTTTGGACAGCTCTGCTTGGAAATCTTAAGCTTAAATCTTCCTCTTCATTCTCTCCACCCATTGCTCCTTGCTTTACCCTGTGAAAAAAAGGAACGAGCATTTATTAAGCACCTACTATGTGTCAGGCACCGTGCTTTACAATTAACATCTCATGTGAGCCTCACAACAACCCTGGGAGGTAGGTGCTGTGATTGGCCCCGCATTTTGCAGATGAGGGAAGTGAGGCAAATGACTGCCCAGGGTAAGTGTCTGAGGCTGGATTTGAACTCAGGTCTTCCTGACTCCAGACCTAGTGCTCTTTCCTCTGAGCCACCATGCATCCAAGAAAATAAGTCTAATTTCTTTTCACGTGACATCACTTCAAAAGTGAAAAACAGCTCTCTATCATGTCCACCCAAAGTCTTCTCTTCTCCAGGTGAAAAATCTCCCATCTATCCATCCAGTCTTCATACAACGTGGTCTCCAATCAATCTTTTAATCAGCAAACATTTATTAAGTGACTACTGCATGCCAGGCACTGTGCTAGGCACTGAGGTTACAAAGACAAAAGGGAAAGCTGCCTGTCCTCAAGGAACTTACATGCTAAGGCAGGGGATTACATGTGCACATATAGGCACACACATATATACACACGAGCACAACATACATGTACACATACACATTTATGCTCACATGCATGCAAACATATGCACATAGTACACACATACATGTCAGCCGATACGCATTTATGAAACCCTCAGTATGTACCATTTACCATGCTGAGCACTGAATAGACAAAGACAAAAATGGAACAATCTCCACCCTCAAGGGGCTTCCATTCTAAAGGGGAAGACAATACATACATTAATAGGCATACACAGAGTAGATCAATGGAGATTTTTTTGTATAGGGAGAGGTCCCCTCACCTCCCTGCTTGCCCTCTTCTAGATGGATTTCCACTCACCAACATCTTTCCTAATGTATGATTCCTCATTGAAGGTCCTTTCCAGCTCTGAATCACCAACCCTAAGGATGGGGGTTTGGGGCCAACAATAAAGGTACTTCCATTATATTATATTCCGTATATTGGAACTGGTCCTGTTCTCAAGTCATGAGGGAGAGGCTGGTCATTCATGCTCCAGCTTCTGCTTCCTTTCCAGGTCCCATGCAGCAGAGTCTGTCCAGCCTTGTTCTTTTGTCAGTCAGCCAACAATCATTAAGCAGTGGACAGTGTGCTAAGGGCTAGGGATAGAAAAAGAAAGCTAAAAGGAAGACAGCTCTGCCCTCAAGGAGCTTCCATTCAAATGGGACCAAAGGAAGCATCTCCTTGGGGAGGAGGAGCCTCGGGAGCTTGTCCTTCGTGTAGACCTTGATCAAAGTAAGTGGGTGTAGAGCTTCTGTTTTCTTTTTGCAGCAAGAACATCTCTTCTCAAGCTCCGGGTTTTGACCATCTGGGTGCACCGTGTGCTGAGGTATGTGTTCTGTCTGACCTTTATACCTCACCTACAAGGCTTCTCAAGCTCCACCATGGAGAGCGCCTTTTCAGTCAATCGGTCCCTCCAAGGACATTTGTTACTGGGTGCCTTCTGTGCTCTGGGACTGTGTGTAGGAGTGTGGATGTGTTAGTATACAGGCTTGGGGCTATGCATTGCGAGGATGCATAATATAGTGAGAAAAGCTGAATTTGGGGAAAAGTGATAGGAGTTTGAAATCTGCCCCTGACACCAGCTAGCAGTGTGATGAAGAGTAAATCGCTCATTCTCTCTGAGTCTCAGCTGAGTCATTTGTAAAATAGGAACCTACCTCACAGAGTTGTTATTCATCATAGCTGACATTTCTATGGCCATTTAAGGTTTGTGAAGCACTTTGCCTTCAGTAACTTATCTGATCTTCTCAAATCAGCAAACTTCTTTACGGGAAAATGAGGGGCTGGGTTACATGGTCCCTGAGGTCCAATGGTCCTAAGCCTGGTTCTTCCTGTGTAAAATGAGGGGTTAGGTTACATGGTCCCTGAGGTCCAGTGGTCCTAAGCCTTGTTCTTCCTCTGTAAAATGAGGGGGTTGGATTACATGGTCCCTGAGGTCCAATGGCCCTAAGCCTGGTTCTTCCTCTGTAAAATGAGGGGTTGGGTTACATGGTCCCTGAGGTCCAGTGGTCCTAAGCCTGGTTCTTCCTGTGTAAAATGAGGGGGTTGGGTTGCATGGTCACTGAGGTCCAGTGGTCCTAAGCCTGGTTCTTCCTCTGTAAAATGAGGGGGTTGGGTTACATGGTCCCTGAGGTCCAGTGGTCCTAAGCCTGGTTCTTCCTCTGTAAAATGAGGGGTTGGGTTACATGGTCCCTGAGGTCCAGTGGTCCTAAGCCTGGTTCTTCCTCTGTAAAATGAGGGGGTTGGACCAGAGGGCCTCTGACATCCCTGCCAGCTCCAGAGTGAGGAGCCTATTGTCAACTGTGTGCCAGGCACTGCTGTAGTAAGGCTTAAATGAGATAATGAACATAAAGCTATGTGGCACAGTGGATAGAGCACTGGGCCTGGGGTCCAGAAGATCTGAGTGCAAATCTGGCCTCAGACACTAGCAGTGTGACCCTGGGCAAGTCACTTAACCCTGAATGCCTCAATTTCCTTGTTTGTAAATTGAGCTGGAGAAGGAAATGGCAAACCACTCCAGTATCTCTTCCAAGAAAACCCCAAATGGGGTCACGAAGAGTCAGACACAACTTAACAGCAACAAAATCCTTAGAGTGCTCAATTATTAATTATTAATTATTAAGCAAGTGCTTAATACATGATTTTTCATTAATTCAGATGTCAGCTACTAGTGCACGACTCTAGTTGGGCAGATAACACGTAGGATCATAGGTCTAGTACTGAGATCACCTTGTCCAACCTTCTAATTTCACAAATGAGGAAACTGAGGCTCAGAGAAACTGAGTGACCAGAACAGGCTCACAGTTCATAAGGGGCCCGGGCAGGATTTGAACTCATTTCTCCGGATTCAGTACACATTCCACTATACCACAATGTCAGTTTGTTGCAGCAGAGCTATCTAGTTTGCCAGCATCACTGCTACCACTTCAGAATTCTGAACTTCAAGGTCACCAGGTTAGTTCTCATCCTTCAGGGCAGGCTTTCTTAGAGACCAGCTGAAATCAGATGGTCAAGGGATGGATTCTTACTTATACAATGTTGAACTCAAGTTCAATAACTAGACCTCTTAAAATACTGTTACCCAGAAGTCACTATTTTTTATTTCACAACATTTATATTTTCCTCAGAAATGCTTATTTCCCTTCCCCCGCTTTCCCAGGGATTATAGAGATTTGGGAACATATCTTCACCTATTAATCCCAGCTACATTCATGTATTCTCAGGCTTTGTTCGATTTCACTGGAAACAACAAACTGGAGTTGACATTCAAGGCCAAAGACATGATTTTCCTGCTGAGCCGAGTCAACAAGGACTGGCTGGAGGTGAGATGCCTTTGTGTTGGCTATTTGAGGGTGAGGTGAGGAAAAGAAAGGAAGTAGTGAGTAGAGATGGTAAAGTAACTCAAAACCATGTTCCATGAGGATACCTGGAGAGAATTAAGGCACCTTGATTATTGACTGACTGACATTACTGTAATTCCTTGAGAACAGAGATTGTTCTGTCCTTGGTCACTGTAGTTGTAGGCAACCAATAAATGCTTACTGATTGAGTAGTTGATCTTCAAAGAGATGAAGATCATTATGTGGAAGAGAGATTGCATTATTATGAGAGGCCTCAGAAAGAGAACTCTTTATATTTTGTATTAATTGACCATGAATGGGTTCTTTCCTGTCAACAGAATGTAAACTCCTTGAGGGCAGGAACCATTTTATTTGTCTTTGTATTCTAGTTGCCTAGTTCAGAACCTTGTGTGTGAGCTTGCTCAAGCAAGGTATGGAGTTTGGGAGCACTCCAGACTGGACAGGCATGCGTGCATGTGCACACATGCACACACACACAGATACCCGCAACTGAGATAGAATTAATCAGTCAACAAGATAATAGTTGTGGGAAAAAAACACTCAGCACAGTGCCTAACATATAGTAGGCGCTCTATAAATGCTTATTCCCTCCATTCCTCTCCCAATCAATCAATGTCCCAATCCATAAACATTTATTATGCCTTGTCTGTGTCAGACACTGTCCTTGGTTCTGGAGAAATGACAAAGAATGAAGGAATCTCCTTCATTCTCAAGGAACTTACATTCTAATAGGTCTGAGAGGAGAAGGAAAACACATGAACTATTCTATGAAAGATTTTCTTTCAAGTAAAACTTTTCTGAGCCTTTAATATATTTCAACTAAAAATGATGTAAAGTGTCTTCTAAACCTTAAGATCCTATATAAAAGCTGGCTTTAAAAAAAGTATTCTGGAGCAGGGGTTCTTGACCTGGGGGTCCTTGAACTTGCCTTAAGGAAGCTAGAAGATCAGTGGATAGAATGCTAGTCCTAGAGTCAGGAAGATCTGACTGGTCAAATCTGGCCAACGTCACACCAGTAGTAAAGCGTAGGCTCATAAATCTAGTGACGAAAGAGACCTCCAAGGCCGTCTAATTCAATCACCTCATTTTACAGATGAAGAAATGGAGGCCCAGGGAAGTGAAATGACTTGCTTGAAGCCATCACAGGTAGTGAATGGCAGAGGGAGGATATGAAACTAGACCCTGTGACTTCAAATTCACCATTCTTGCTACCTTACCACAATGACTATTAAAAGGACTGACTTAGGCTGGTAGGGATAAGAGTGAACTGGTACAAGAGACATTGGGCAAAACAACAACTCTCATCTTAATAGCACTTTATGGTTTTCAAACACTTTCTGCACAACACTGTGAGGTTAGGGCAGGTACATGTGTATAGGGGCTGTATTAGCCTCCCCTATTTTACAGAAGAGAAAGCTGAGCCTCTGCGAGGTCAGACGATTTGGTCACCATCACACACTTGTTAAGTGCCTCAGTCAAAACCTCACCTCAGTTACTCTGAGCAGGCCACAATGTTGCCTCCCAAGGTTCCATGCTGTCTTTGTCTTCCCAGGGCACTACCCATGGGGCCACAGGGATCTTCCCAGCCTCCTTTGTGAAGATTATCAAGGACTTCCCGGAAAAGGAGGACAGCCTCACAAATTGGCTGCGATGCTACTACTATGAAGACACAGTGAGCACCATCAGGTACTGAGGCTCAGGAGCTGGGGTCCATGGCCTTCCCTTCCTGCTCCCAGCTCCCATGGGTGCTGGTCTCCTCCCCCATCACCTCACCTGGGCCCTGAGAAAGCAGAGTCATTTTTTTTCCTGACCTCCTTTTTATGCTCTGCGAAAGCAATCCCCATAGCCCATGATGGGGTAACTTAGAGGGTGGAGGGTGGTGCCAAGGCCAGCATGCTGAGTTTGGTTGTCAACTGGGCCCGCAAACTCTACTGTATTCAATGGCCATATATAGTAGCCCTAATCCCATCTGGGCCTGTGGGTAATACAGGCATGGTGAAAAGGCGAGATGATTCCATACTCCTCTTCCTCCACTTTACAATTCAAAGTATGGACCCTCCTAAGGTGGGCATCATTGTCTCCACCCACAAAAGAGCTAGCTCGCTCCAGTAATTAGGGAAATACCCAAGTCATCCTCACTTGGGACAGAGGAGATGAGTCTCCAGGTGGGAGAACACTGAGTTACTTCCAGGCTCAATTATCCAAGGGGCTAAGAAGAGTGGATGGAGAGTTCACTGATCAGATAGTTCAAGTCATGGGAATTTGGCCAGCAGAGTGCTTTGCAATCAATTCATCACTCAATCAATAGGCATTTATTATTTTGTGACTGATAGGAGGAACAGTGGATAAAGTATTAGACTTGGAGGTAGAAAGACCTGAGTTAAAATTCTGTCCCTAACACTCATTAGCTGTGTGACTCTGAGTAAGTCACAAAACCTTTATCAGCCTCAGTTTCCTCATCAGCAAAATGGGGATAATAATAGCACCTACTTCACAGGTTATTATCAGGATCAAATGAGATAACATATATAAAGTGCTTTGCAAACCTTGAAACTATAAACTAGCTTTTTAAAAATTGACTATTATTTATTAAGCACCAATCACGTTGCAGGTCACATGGGAATCACATGGGAAGTGAAGAGGTTGCTGACTTGGATGGATGGTGGAAGAGTATGCTGGAGGGGAGATCGCTTTACATTTTGAAGTGTCCCAGAATGAGAGCAGGGTGTGAGTTTGGGAGGAGAGGCTGTGATTCAGCCTGAATTCCTCTAGAAGGGAGGGAGAAGGACCTGCAGCTGCTAGCCATAGAGAAGGGAAGTGAGCATCCAGGGAGGAAGGGTGGCCACTGCTCAGTAACAGTGGGTCAGGGAGGGTCTGGAAGTGGCAATGGGGAGAAAGGATCTTGCCAGTGGGAAAGAGCATTGTGCTAGGTACTGAGGATACCAAGCCTAAGAAAAAGTCGTTTTAAGGAGCTTACGCTGCAGCAGAGGGAGATACCAGGGGCAGATCTAGGGAGAAGCCAAATGGGACAAAGTAATTTGGGGGTAAGGCACCAGCAGAGGGGTGGAGTCGAAAAACTTCATCTAGAAAGTGGTGTTTGAAGTGAACCTTGAAGAAAACTAGGATCATCGTCCTGGAGCTCAGAACTTCCTCATCTTACAGTTCAGGAAACTGAGGAACAGAAAACTTCAGTGACTTGTCCAAGGTAGAAATAATAATAATCCAAATTTACAGAGCACATTAAGGTTTGCAAAGAAATTGATGTTATCTCATTCATGTGATCCTTATGACAACCCATTTTACAGTTGAGGAAATTGAAGCTGATACAGGTCCAGTGACTTGCCCAGAGCCACGAACTTTATATGCCTGAGGCAGGATTTGAACTCAGGACTTCATAACTCCAAGGAAGGAGGGAGAGTGCTCTAGCAGCTGCATCACCTGCCTCAGAGATAAGAGTTGTATCCGCAATCAGTGACTCCAGGACCAGGGGGCTCTCTGCCCTGTACCGTGATGCCTCTAGAGATTCTTCCTTAATAAATGCTTGTAGAATTGAACAGTAGGAAGTCAAATGTAGGAACCAGAGGGAGTAAGCACTTGGTCTGACTCACTTCAGTTGGCTTTCTAGAAGTGTCAGTCTTTTTGTTCTGGAGGTTCCCATGCCCTGCCTGCCTGAGTCTTTGATCGCCTTCTGCTGTCTTAGCCACTAATGCTGAATCATACACTCATTCTGTGGGGGAAGGATCATTATGGTGCCCAACGGAGGTTAGAAGTCAACCTAAGAGTGATTGGATGATACTATCTGCCAAATGAATGTCAGCTCTGAGGTCATTCTGGACTGAGGAGAGCAATCCTATTGGCATCAGTGAAATTCCAGATGAGCAGACCAGGAGGGTCAACACAGTGTTATGATATACTATATCCTATATGTGGCCAAAATATTCCTGTCACCCCCAACCCCAACCTGAGAGTTGGATGAGATATCAGCAGCCAGCCAGCTCAACTGAAATTTGAAATGGAATCCCCACTATAACACAAATGTCAAGTGATCATTTAGCCTCTGATTGAAGAACTCCTGTGATAAGGAACTTATTACCTTCCTAGGTAACCAATTCAACTCTTGGACAACCCTAACTATTAGGACATTTTTCCTGACCCCAAGCCTCAATTTCCCCCTTTGTAGCTTAATCCATCAACCAACAATCAACAAATATTGATCATGTGTGTGTATTGATTGTCCTGCTCTGTGCCAAGCACTGGAGATACAAATAAAAACATGAGACGGTCCCTACCCCCAAAGCTCCCCCCCACACACTGGTAGTGTGTGTGTGTGTGTGTGTGTCGGGGGAGAGTGGCAACAGAGAATGCAACATATTTGCAGAGAAGTCAGTGCAGAGTACTGAAAAGCTCCCATAGATATATGGTATTTTCCATTTGAGAGTTCTGCCCAACAGTGCCAATGATGACCCTTCTATTGCCCACCCCTCCTGTTTGACTCTTGTTGAGACCCTTCTGTCATCTTGCCTCGGGATATCCACCCAACGTATTGCAAGTCTTCCTCATTTTCTCCTGACATCAGGAGGGTATTAGTGGGTGTACATCTCTCATACAAAATAATTACACATTTATTTGATGGGGCAAGCTGAGGGAATCAGGGATGAGTGGCCTCTTGAAGGAGGCAGCATCTGAACTGAACTTTGAAGGATGTTTAGCGTTCCAGGAAACAGAGGGTGAGCAGCCCTTGGGGATAGTTTGTGCGAGCCATGGAGGAGGAAGATGAAATGTTGGGAACATTGAATAGACAAGTTCCACCCACTATTCTTGATTCTGTCACCTGGATGAAAGGGACCAAAGCTAACTCCTCTTTCATGTTTGGTAGAATATGGCAGAGGAAAGGGGTGCAGGGTCTAGGTGGGCATCCATCTTCACAAGCTCACACTGACAGATCTCTTATTTCTCTGTGTCACCTTCTTAGGGACATTGCTATAGAAGAAGACATCAGGAGCACCCCATTGTATAAAGACCTGATGGATCTAATCAGGTGAGGGGGCCCCCAAAAGGATAAAAGCAATGCTCTCAAGACATCTCAGTAACCTGATGTCCAGCAGATGGGAGAAGCCAGCTCCCCAGCCAGCCCTTCACACTAAGGGTCCTGAGGCTTGAGGAATTGGAATGTCATGGGCTCTGCCTTCTTTGAGCAGGATGAGTTCCAGTTCTTTAAGATCCATTCTCAAGTAATGGGCAGAGAAAACTTTCCTGGTAAAAAGCTGAGTCCAGAAGGGAAATCAAACCCTGTGTAGTGGTGGCAAGATGCCAACTAGCTGGTTATTTGTTCTCCAACTGAGGGCTTGGGGAGGTGCAGATTCAGTGAGGGGAAGTCCTACTTATTCACATTCTGTAAAGTTTGTAGATAATTTTCTTCTCAATCCCATGAAGTAGGCACCATTATTCCCATTTCAGAGGTGAGGAAACAGGCTTTGAGAGGTAAATGAAGTGATTTGTCAAGGCTATGTAGAATGGAAGTACCAGAGTGGGATAGTTCATGAGAAACATCTGGACAGTGCGGCAGAAAGGTTATGAAATAGGAGTCAGAAGACCTGAGTTCAAATCTTGGTTCCACTAGTGACCACTTGTATGACAGACAGTGGGCAAATATCTTCTCTGGGCTCAGTTTCCCTGTCTACCAAATGATAAAGTTAGAATCAATCAATAAACAGTTACTCATGTTTTATTTACTATACATAATATAATATGTTTATTATATATTAATCCTAAGGATCAGTAAAGCTTGTATTGAACACTAGTCCTCTAATCCAAAACCCAGCAATCTCTTCCATGTTTTTCTCCTCACCACTGTCTGATAAGCCTCCTGCCCTTGCCCCCTTCCCCTTGTTTTTCCCCACCAGGCGAGAGTTCCAGCGCAGCGACATTGCTCTGAATTACCGGGACAGCCAGGGAGACCTGGTGCGCCTGCTGTCAGACCAGGACGTGGAGCTGATGGTGAAGCAGGCCTGGGCCCACCCCACTCAGAAGCAGCTCTTCCCTTGGAAGCTCCATATCACACAGGAGAACGCTTTCCATGTCTACAACACAGCCCCTTGAGAAGGCATTTATTGGGGCAGGACAGGGATGGGACCCGAAAAAGGCCAATGATCCCCTCCACCGGCACCTTCCCCATCCTGGACCTGATGAAGCCCAGCCAGCCTCTTCTTCCAGGTGCTCAGCTCCCATACCACTTCCCCCCTAACTTCCCCAGCCTGAATGAAATAAACAGAGGACAGTCTGCAGCATCAGCCCCAAAGCAGCCCAGTGGGGGAGTTGAAAGACAGATAGTTTCAAGTTCCATCCGTACTCCTTTCTGCTTCCCTCAGACCAGAGAATATCAGAGCTGGGAAGCCTGGGTTCAAGTACTATATCTGATGCTTACTCCCTGTGTGACATTGGGCGAATCACTTCCTCTCTCCAGGCCTCAGTTTCCTCATCTGTAAAATGAGAGAATTGAACTAGATTGGAGTCTGAGGGCTGTTTCAGCTCTAAATCTACAATCTACGGGTGCTATTCTCTAAGAGACTTTAAACAAATGGGAGGAAAAAGGAGATTAGGCTAGGCGAGCTATCGAAGTAGATCTGGAGCTGTCAGTGAGTTCTTGGCTTGGTTAAATAGCACCCCAGACTGGAGATCTAGGATGCACTTTAGAAAGCAGGTGTGGAAGCGCCTCGTTTAACAATTGAGGAAACTTGGGGCAGCTAGGTGGCGCAGTGGATAGAGCACCGGCCCTGAAGTCAGGAGGACCTGAGTTCAAATTCAGTCTCAGACCAAACACTTGACACTTATTAGCTGTGTGACCCTGGGCAAGTCACTTAACCCCAACTGCCTTAAAAAAAAACATTGAGGAAACTAAGGGCCAGAGGGGAAGCCAATCATAGGATTATCAATTTAGAGGCGGAAGGAGCCTCATTGGCCCTTGAGTCCAACCCTCTCATTCTACAGATAAGGAAACTGAGGCCCAGAAAGATCATAGGATCCTAGATCTAGGACTGCAAGGGGCTCAGAGGCTGGCTAGGTCAATGCCCCCATTTTACAGAGGAGAAAGTGAAAAGGTCAGATTCAATGGCTCACCCAAAGTCACACGGGGAGTAAGGAACAGAAGTAACATTTGAACTCAGATCTTCTGAATTCTTACCCCATGCCCCCTTTATCATCTCCCTTTCACAAGTGAGGAAACAGACTCAGAGACAAGTAGTCTCTTGTCCAAGGTCACTTTTGAAAGGAAGTTAGAACCATCGGGATGGGAGGGGTGGGGAAACCTGGGCTCTTCTGCTCCGATTTGCTGAGTGCCCAGTTACTGCTGCGGTCATTTCTGAGCCCTTTCTGTACTTTCAGAAGCTGGCTTCTTATTAAAAAAAAAAAGGGATGAAAAGAAAAGAGCAGGTGCCTGCTCTGGCTCCCCTGGTGCCTTCGAGGCTCAGCCAGGCTGGGAACTGCTGATGTGTGGGCAGGTGGCGGCAGCCTTCCATGGGGTGGGGGCTGCTTTCAGGGCTCAGCCCTTTCTGTTGGTTGATTGATCAGTGAAAGCTTTGTTGTTGCTGTTTTTGTTGTCTCTCTCATGCAACAGTTTCTAGAATCCATCAGTGAGTTTTCCAGAGGGAGGGACCAAATGGTTTTACTGTTTTATTTACGGAGAACAGTTCTAACTCATTTCGGCGGTATCCAAGCAGAGTTCCTCTGGCATTTACTGACATTCTCCTCTGAAGCCTCAGCTTGGCTCTGGAAGGCTTTTGCCAGTGGATCAAAAGTGCCAGTGGTCCCTTCCAGGCTGGGAAGGTTTTGTGTACAAACCTGGCAGTGGAGCCCATGTCTCGTCCCAGGAGCAACCTTGCTAAGAGCAGGGAGGCTCATTGCCAGAAGGCTGGCCATCAAAGGATGGATTTTTAAATTTACTTTTATTTTTGAGCACAGCGGACCAAGAAATGAACAAGAACACAAAATGCTTCATAGTCCTTTTGGGTTCCCTTCTCTTTCCGCTGTGAGTGGAAGGGCAGTCAGTGTGGCATAATGAGAAGTTCTTTGGAGTCGAAAGACTTGAGGTCAAATTCTGGCTCTGTATATGATTACGTTATTACCTCAGACAAGTCACCTCACCTCTGGGGACTTTGTTCTCCTCCTGTGTGCAGTGAACGTTTCTTCCCATTCTACAATTCTGATCCTATGGTGCCAACAGAGAGAAATAAAATGGGAAAGAGGGTGTTTAGCATTAGACAGTTCTTAGATCATCTACAAATATTAATTTAATGATTGGTACTCTTTGATCTAAATTAACTTAACCTGTGCCTCAAGATTGTCATGTGACTATGGGCTCACGTAATACTTTCACCTTACACAAGGCAAAGAAGAAGCCACCTCATGGCTGCTTTCTCACCTGTATGGAATCTTGATAAAAATGGTCTACATAGAAAGTAAGAGTATCCTTGATGAAAACATGAGAAGGGAACAGCTGGCTGTTGCAGATAATTTTCCACAGTGGGCAAACCTTTACATCATCCACACTAAAAGGATCAGGGGCTATATGAGCCTGCTGGGCTTGTTATTCATTGATTATTTTTTTAACTTGGCAGAACAATATAGATCCTCCACTCTCCCTTTACATGCTATATATTTATTTTATTTTTCCTCAATTACATGTGAACATAAATTTTCAAGTTCATTAAGGAAATTTCAGTTCCATATTCTCTCCCTCCCTCCTTCCCCTTTCCCCCTCCTAGAAAAGGCAAGCAATTTGATATAGAATATACATATGCAGTCATGCAAAACATTTCCATGTTAACCATGTTGCAAAAGAAAAAGCAAACCAAAAAAACCCCAAGAATAATAATGAAAGTTTAAAAAGTAGGCTTCAGTCAGATTCCATCAGTTCTTTCTCTGGAGGTGGATAACATTTTTCATCCTAAGTCCTACAGAATTGTCTTGGATCATTGTATTGCTGAGAATAACTAAGTCATTCATAGTTGATCATCGTACAGATCTTTGAAAGCTTTCCTCAAGTGAGGTGTTTTCCATGAATATTTTCAGGGAAGTTCAGTATTGAGCAAGTGGGCTGAAAAAAAAAAGTGGAAACAGTCTTTGAAGCCACATGCACAGACCAAAATGAGAGGAGGCTGGTGGGAGAGAACTGGGCCGTAGAACATCATGAGCATTGTAATCCCTGTTAACAGCCTGATTCCGGGGTTTGAAACTGCCATGCAAAGTGGTTTCTGCTCACTAGTCAAAAAACTTTCTAGCCCCAGGCAACGGTTAATAAAGCATATTTTCAGTACTTTCCTCACTAATCCTGAATTGTTAACAATCACTTCTTAATATAATCCTGATAGGTTCTCAGGGTTTTGATAGAATGCTTCTTTCAAATTCCTGGAATCACTTGCTTAGCTAGGAGGTGGCAGGGGTCTTTCTTGATGTGTTCTGAGCTTCAGTCCTCTAGGCTGTGGTTTAGTTTAGTGTCAAAAGCCTTGAGAAGGAAAGCACTTCATTATTTTGTCCCCATTTTACATATAAAAAAAAAAACAGAGGCTAAGAGATGCCTGTGAGAGTCAATATTAATTAGAGTGTGGGTCTGAACGTGAGTCTGTTGACAGAAGGCCAAAATTCTTTCTGCTACATCACATCAGGATTCACTATCAGTTGTATGGCTGAAGAGATATTAGAGGGCATTAAGTCCTATCCGCTCATTTTACAGATGAGGAAACTGAGGCCCAGAGAGGTTCAGTGATTTGCCCTGGGTCACACACAGCTTCAAAGCATCTGAGGTCTTTGTGATTCCAAATCAAGTGTTCTGTCTACCATATAGTAGGCAGCTAGGTGGCTCAGTGAATAGAGTGCTGGCCCTGGAGTCAGGAAGACTCATCTTGCTGTGTTCAGATCTGGCCTTCAACACTTACTGGTTATGTGACCAAGTCACTTCACTCTGTTTGCCTCAGTTTCCTCATCTGTAAAAGGAGTTGGAGAAGGAAATGGCAAACCACTCTGGCATCTTTTCCAAGAAAACCTTCATGGGGTCATGAAGAGCTGGACAGGACCGAATGACTGAACGACAATAATATGGTCCAGGCACTGTACCAAGTGCTGGGAACACAAGCAGAAAGACAATCCCCTGCCCTCAAGGAGCTTGCATTCTAAAAGGGGAAGATAGCACACTCAAGTGAACAGAAAAGAGGGGAGAAAGAAGATGCACACTGAGGGCAGGGTGGAGAAAGTCCTGGTTGTGTCAGGAGTATAACCTGTAGAGGCATAAACACATGGCTTGGCCCCAGCACCATCCTTAAAATAGAAGTCTGGGGGGATTTGTAATTCAGCCATAAGCGTCATGTAGGACTATTGAGGTCTATGAATCATAAGGCAGACTTGACTAATACCCAGGAATTCTTGAAAGGGATATAGCCAATCTGTTAGACTCAGACTGAGAGAGAGGAGGGGGGCTTTCTGAGATCTCTTCGGTGTGATTCCAGACTGCCTTCTGGCTCAAATATTGCAAGAGGCCCAAATTCCTCTCACGGATCAGGATGAATGTTTATTCATCTGAACTATTAATTCCAGTATTTCACTCAATTCTTTAACCTCTATTACATAGTTATCTCTGTCTGTGACTCATCTTTCTATTAAACTATATATAAACTTCCCTTAATTTTGTGTCAGTCCCAGTCCCTGGAGCTAGAGTGACAATTAACAATAATAACTAGCAATATTTTACTTGAGACAGGCTATGGGCACGGCAAGGCTTACCTGGGATATAGCCTGGTGCTTGGAAGATTGCACCTTAGCTAACTTTTCTATGTGTTTGCAAAATACCTTCTACATAGTATCTCATTTGGTCTTCACAATAACATTGTGAAGTAGATGCTATTATCACTCCTGTTTTACAAATGAGGAAACTGATTTGGGAAGAGGCTGACTTCCCTAAGATCGTACAGCTAGTAAATACCTTTGGCAAAATTTGAACTCAAGGGGCAGCTAGGTGGCACAGTGAATAGAGCATGGGCCCTGGAGTCAGGAGGACCTGAGTTCAAATCCAGTCTCTGACCAGACACTTGACACTTACTAGCTGTGTGATCCTGGGCAAGTCACTTAACCCCAATTGCCTCACAAAAAAAAAAACAAACAAAAACCAAACAAAACAAAATTTTAACTCAAGTCTTCCTGATTCCAATTATAAAACTCTATATAAAAAGCCACTTTGCTCCCTCTTGGAAGGTCCTGAGATTTCTACCCTACTGAAAGAGTTTTCGTTTTGGGTAAATCCTTCCTGTCTCTGAGTTTCATTTATAAAATAGGCAGGAGATGGGTGATCTTGAAAGTCCTTCCCAATTCTAATTCTATCATAGCCAGGTCCACAAGCCTTGAAAGCTAATGGTCCCCCGGTTCATGGTCATAGGGTCTAGACTGAGTAGGAAGGATATTAAATTAGAACTGTAGTATTGCAGAAAAGGTACCTCCCCAAGTCAGAGCCAGGACGAAAGTTGGAGGGAGGGGGATCTAGCCAGAATAGCAGGTGGAGTTAAAAAGAAGATGACCCTCATTTTTTAAAACTCCAATATTCTCTCAGTGACCCTCTGTGGTTTTTACTCATGTTTTCCCCAATCTAAATAGAGTCATAGTTAGAAATAAGGGAAATGGAAAGGTCTGTAGTTGGCAGCTTGAGGAAGTGGCAGCATATGAGAAACTATAACTTACATGCAAGAATAGCGTAAATGATGCCTCATGAAGGAGATGTGTGTCCATAAGAGGAGGCGGGATGATCTTG